TTAGAAAAAATCGTTTTTTCAGCTCAAAAATACGTTTTCCAATTTTTTTTTCAAATTTGGCAGGTCTGTTTGTGATAACGAAAGGTCTCTTTTGACTGTAATATGACTTGCTGAATCTGAAAAAAATATCAAAGGTTTTCAAAATAATGGCGTGCCATTTTTTTTCTACTTTAACCGTTTTTTACCAAAAAATTCTGTATATTTTTCTATTTTTTGACCACCCTGTACATGATATTCCAAGTTTTAATAGTTTTTTACTGTTTTTTCAAGAAGCAGAAACTTTTATAAAGAATAACTTTTTTTCGTAAAATTGATAATAAAAAAGTTTCCCATATGCTGCGAACTTAAGTGGCCACACTGTATATACAGTGTGATTTTTTAAGTGTGCAACATATGGGGATTTGTTTTTAGTAATAGCACAACCCAAATACAAACAAGGCCAAAAGTTGGTGCATGTCTGATAATCATATTAAGTGCACTTAGAATGGTTGCAAGTCAAACAGCATACAGGGTAGCTCAAACAATATCAAAGCTGTACTGTAAAGTACCCTTATTTTAGAAAATTCAGCAAAATGTTATAGAGAAAAGTTGTTTGGAATTAAAAGTTATGCCTAAATACCAAAACATAGCCTCCTAAGATTTTTTTTATTTTCTTTCGAAAAAAATCTATAATTTCTATATTTTTTTTATTTTTTATTTCCGCCCTTAATACTTTCAAAAATTAATTAAAATCAAATCAATTTTACATAACTTTGTTCAAATTCAAGCATGTTTGTAAAATTGATTTAGATTTTTAATTTTTTATGGAATCACAAAATTCATGTTTGTTGCAATGATATTCAACACAACTTTAAAATGTCGCAATTTTTTTTTAACAAGTTAAAACATCTCTAATGATAATAGCCATATTAAAAAAACTCTCCTTAAAGTGCAAAAGTTTTATTTTATTTAAGTAAATATTAGTAGAATTTTGATATTTTTTGAGCCACCCTGTATACTGTTTGACTTGCAACCATTCTAAGTGCACCTAATATGATTATCAGACATGCACCAACTTTTGGCCTTGTTTGTATTTTGATTGTGCTATTACTAAAAAAAATCCCATATGTTGCACACTTAAGTAATGACACTGTATATTATTTTATCCCATTTTGACGTTTAAAAATGACATTATTGAACGCATAATGACAAAGGTAAGTAGACGTTTATCACCTGAGTGACTTGAAATATTTTTAACTCACTCTCGGTCTTTTAAGTCACTCTGCCAGTATAAAAATCTGCTAAAAATACAAACAAACAACTAGTTATACCTTAGCAACCACCAATTTCAATAATTAGCGCTTTCATAACTACTAAATGAATTCTTTTTATAATTTGATTCCTTACTTTTTAAATGTCCATCAAAATGGGATAAAATTTTGTATAAATCACGTGAGTTAAAATGTTTATTCATTCGAAGAAAATTAACCCACTCGCTAGGGCTCGTGGGTTAAACTTTCTTCTCATGAATAAACATTCATTTAACTCACTTGGTGTATAAATAACTAATAACATATGGGGTACACTTACACAGGATTGATTAGTATTTTTACGGTAAATTAGAATTTTCAAAGTTCGCACGTGCGGTTTAAACAAGAGCTCGGTCGAATCTTCAAGCATATTTTGGATTCAAGCGATTTGACGTCAAAATCTTCCTATCGATGGTTCGCACGCCGACACGTAATCTATTTTTTTTTCCTACGATCAGCCGGCTTTGTGAGTTTGATAACATTTCTATCTTTGGTCTTCTTGCTATTATAGTAAAAGTGCTGCAAGCCGGTTCTGCACTTTCTGCCTTCGGTCTTCTTCTTTTTGTAACAATCTTAATGGCGCCAATGTACCGGGTGTCCAAATAAGAAAGGTCGCCGGCTATATCTCAGGAACTATTAGTCCTAGGGCTTCCAAGTAAAAATTTTTTCATAAAATAGGCCATGAGAAATTGCTGGAAATAGTTTTCAAGTTCGTAAATTGACCGCTAGGGGGCGCAACGAACACTCGAAAACATAATACTGTGATTATCTTCAAAAAACGCCTACTAGAGGTATACAAAAAATATGATTTTTGAAATCTTGATGAGATTGCGAAAAAATTTTGTTAAGGATTTTTTGCTCTAATTCTTCAAATAAGAGGTGGGGGAAGGTTCAAACTTGTTAGGAACAAAAGTTATATAACTTTTTTGTTTTTCAACCAATTTCAATGAATCGGGTGTCATTTGAAAGCGTTTTTTTCTGTTCAATAAAATGCATAACAAAAATAACAAAATTGAATTGCTATGTTGCCGCTAGGGGGCGCCGAGTCCAAAAGTCGGCAATTTTCCATTTTTTCTCGGAAATTTCAAATATGCATCATTATATGCATTTTTTTATAATTTAGATGGAAAGAGGATGAAAAAATAAGGAATCTGGTGAAAACCGCAAGTCTAAATCTTTATCCTAGCCAAAATATAAATAAACAAATATTTTAACCCTTTATAGGGCAGAATATTACAGTTTGGTTTTGAACCAAATAAGAATGAGTTTGAGTTTATTACGGTCTAGAAAAGAGGTATTGTTCGTTATTTTGATTTTTTTACTGTTTTTTTGTGTTTGTTTGAGGAGGTTGATTTTTCAACCAGAGTCCATTCGGGAATATCGAAATGACAGTGGACATTTCACATCAAACAGGTCATTTGGCTCCAAATCTGCCATTTTTTCCAAACACAATTTTTTATCCATCGTTTATCCCAAAAATATTTAAAAATCAGGAAAATCTAAACTAAAATGATCACTTCTATTTTTTTTAAAATATATTTTGATGTTAGGTCAGAACTAATGTACAAATATTTCCCCTGTGACAAACCTTATGAACAAAACAATTATGTAATAACAATCTTATATTATTAGTAGCTAACTCACCTGCAAAATATCAGGCATTTATATAAATAATGAATGGGTAAAAATTAATAATAACGTGCGGAGCAACAACACAATATGAATTATATGGAAACACACTGGTTGATATTTCAACCGTTTCCTAACTATTTTTTTAAATTTTGGTGATCTGGTCGAAATATCCACCAGTGTGCGTTAAACAAGGCGTATTTTATTAACTGGCAGATATTTAGACCGGTATTCCTTCAAAATATATAATTTTTCGCACCGCTTGATATATCGACCGGTATCCTATAAAGGGTTAAGTAAGAAAAATTTCAGAAAACAACCCTATTGCCTTCCTTTTCGGGATAAAACAGAAAAAATCCTTTTTTTACGGCACTATAGAATTAGTAAGAAGAAGAACTAGTTGTGTGTCTGAAATTAGCTACCAATCCACGATATTAAGAATTGAAATTGAATTGAACTATAGTTATTTACATTCCAACTGCGAAAGCGCACTTTTAGGTGCGAAGTGTATTTAATACCTCCGAACACCTAAATAGTTATTTACATTCCAAGCTGCGAAAGCGAACTTTTAGGTGCATGTATTCAAATAGCCCAGGCGAAGCGAAGCGCAGCCTCGGCTATTTGAATACCTCCGAGCACCTAAAAGAGCTTTTGCAGCGTGTAATGTATCCAACTTTTCATTGTTCCCCTCAGGATTTTTTTTTTATCTTGAACATACAAGCGAAAGCGAAATTCAAACATGCTAGTCATTACTTTCACTTTCGCTTGCCCGTTCAAGATAGAAAAACATGTTATTTACAATCATACATGTAATGTTGACTTTTCTGAGTTTTAAAAAGTTTGAAAATGTCACTTTTTTACTTTTACTTTCCTCCCGTGGGCCGGAAGTAAGTGCCTGTCAAATTTACAAAAAAGTCAATTTTCAACTGTCAATATTTCCAAAACAGTTGAACTTAGGTAAAGAGTATATCACATGAAATCTGCTCAGAATTTGATGTAGAATCCGAATATTGAATAATATACAGGGTATATTCTATTTAAAATAAGAAAGTTGAAGCACGACCAGCTCTTTTGAAACACCCTGTATATGCAAAAGTGAGTTTTTCAAAAAATTTAATTTCAACCATTCATTTTTTATTTGAGACACTTTTTTCTAAAATGTCAAATAAAAAAGATAGAGGGGGGTGACATTTATAACCAATAACCCTGTACCTATACAATAATATGATGTCGAAAACGATTACATAAAATTATCTAAAATTAAAGCTATTTTAAGATATGAAGGCATTGAAGAGAAAAATTGAATTCCCATTCATTAGATACCTACGTCGATTGATGGAGTGAGTACCTAAATCAAAAATTTGTTTGTTTTTTTTTCCCAAAGGCGTTGTTGAAGCCTATGTTATCTGACATCCTTAATGGTAATAAGCGGCATAATTTGTCATTAGTGTTCAAAAATTTCAACCACTAAAATTCTAATGTATTTAAATGCAAAGCCACATCCCCTTAGAAGTTAAAAACATATATCAGTTCCTAATTTGTATGTGTGTTGTTTCAATATGGAATATTTACTCTTCAGGTAAGAGAACAAAATAATAAGGAACTGAAAAACATGATGTTGAATTTGGCACCTAAAAAATTTTCAACTGGAAATCTGGTTGTGTTTGGAAATGTTATAGACTATAAATGTTCTATATATTATTAAATACAATAGTTTTATTAAAAAATAGGTACAAATTGAACAGCAACAATTATTGATAATAATATATGAAAACAATTAATTCGGTACTACCAAAAAATTGAAACTAAAATTGGTATTTTTGTTCTTTTTTAAAGTAGGACTACACCTATATCCCCGCATTTACAAGTTTATGTATATTATCTATTCACAATCCGATGTCCAAAGGTAAAGGTAAAATTTATCACCTTTCAGTGCTATTTGATAGGGAAAGGTGATAAATTTACCTTTACCTTTGGACTACGGATTGTAAATAGGATATATAAATATTCCTTGCGAAAACAATTGCTTTTGAACCATAATACTATTTTATAAATGTAGGTAGGTTATTATATTTTATTTTCCAGTATGTGCTTTTGCATTTTATCTCCACATTTATTACAAAAGTATTTGGCACAAACTGCTCTTCTTACTATAATTGAGAAACAGTGCATTACAAACACATCGTCTGCTGTGGCACCAATTTATAATCTCGATGAAAAATTGTGGCCTAAGCCGGAATATTTTACTCAAAATGGTAAGTATGTACCCACCTTTTGAATAGGTATCATCGTCACCAAAAGTATCTGGGACACAAATAATGTATAATAATCTCCTGGACTAATTCTACTGTCATTCATTTCAATGCATTTAATGCATAGTTTGACAAATATTTGACAATAAAATTCATATAATAGGACAAGAGATAATGTGATGCTGTCCCAGTTACTTTTGGTGACGATGGTACCTAATTAACTTTGAGGTTTTAAATTTTGTCGTATTCTTTATGCAATTGCTTAAATTTGGCAATCAACTCGTTTCAAATTTATAGATAAAATTGATAAAATCACTAAAATTATAATTATGTTTTAGTCAAGTATGTAGGAAGAAAAACTAATTTACTAAAACATTGCGTGCCATCACCAGGGTCGCGATGTTTTGATAACTCATGGATTATTAAAAATTCGTTGTCTCATTCTCGCATCAATAATCTCATTACTGATAGAAGATGGGAAGGTGAGTTAAGGATCAAATTTTAAAGGGGGTGTGACCCAAAAATAAAAGTTTTAGAAAAAAAAATCTAAGAACAAATTTTAAAACCGTACTAGACTACGACCGCTACGACCAACCGCTGCGAAAATACTGTGGTAGAGTCCGCGTGAAAAGTAAAGAGTACGGTGACGTCAAAAGCACACAAACTCAATTTTGTCTAGAAAGATACCCGCCGCCGGTTCTCAGTCACGGCATACACGAGAAATGGAAAAGGGATAAATCCGACCCACTTCGCGCAGCTTTTCGTGTCGTCACCGTTCTCTTGACGCGGACTCTATAAAGTTCCCGCTCCCAGCACTGTGGCCGGTACTGGGCGCGTGTTGGCTCATGCTTGCTGTCTATATTATCGTCTTGTTTTTGCGTTCTCACTCCTATCGCTGCGTCAGTTTGAATGGGTCTTGTAATTTTGTGTTTATGACGTTACGCGATGAATAGGCAAAACTTTATCTAGGCGTATCTAACCTATTATTTTGAATAGCAATGCGAGATTTTCACAAGAGATCTTTGAATTTTTTTCTTTATTTTCTGAATATAATTGTGTTTCAAGGTCATACCCCCTTCAAATAGAATGGCTTTTGAAAAAAAAGGTAAACCTAAGAAAAATTACTTTTAGAGCTTCCCACCTTTGTTACCAAAGATATACATAAATATGGCATGGACATGTATTATGATAAAGTAACAACTATAAACTCCCACAACTTTATGCTGCCTTTTTCTGTTTTGATCAAGTACGAGGCGCATTTATTCTTATGCGATGGGCCTGATGTATCCTCATATAATTGTTACTGGTTCATGATAGATGCATGGAATGGAAAAAGTAGCGCAATTCGAGTTTGTGATTCAGGAAATATTCAAAAACAATACGAAGGTGGCAAACCACCTTCTGGAATTTGTGGCAGTTCAACGGCTGATTATAAAGTGAGTTAAAACATTATTAAATAAACAAAAAATCATGCTCTTTTTCCGTCAGCTCGATGCAAGCATTCTCTCCAAAACCAAGTGGACTCATTTGAAAATTGTGGCAAATAATTATAAACTTAAATTAATCAATGAGGAGGGTCGAGTCTTGATTAATGCTACAAATCTGCAGCGAAACATTATTCCAGGCCATGTAATCATCCATAGTAAGCGAGTTATTGGGATGTGGAAAATGCACACGTGTAAGTACACATAGCTTTAACTTAATTCTTAAAATACCTATAAATCTTTCAGTTGATTACTTCTATTCAGATTCGGAAGGAACGACGGAATTTAAATTAGATGTTGGGTCTGGACAACGATGTCTATCCATGTTATCATCTATGTGCAACAAATGTACTATGTTGATTCAAATTTTGACATATTTTTGGAAATGGAAGTATAGTGATAATATTTTATATTCCCGCGAGCTGCCGAATGATGCGGTAGGTACCCTCAATATTCGTATTCAATTTCTGGCATTTTGGGCCATCAGAAGCATTCTCTTTGAGTAGGTTCCTTTCAGGCGATTCTGCTAAATTGTCCTCCATTTTTGGTGTTGTTGAGAGTTTAAAAATTTACAGTAGCCATCCTCTTTCGTGGGAATTCTTAGCACCTTGTGCTTAGTCGAATAAACTGTTTTTATTTGACATGAATTTTCCCAGATTTTTCGGTACCACAAAAAAAAATTGACGCTTTTAATTTTTTCACGAACCTTTTTTTCAGAATGGAAACTGGCAAGAGCACAAATTTCATTTCAACACTGAAGAAGCAACCGTATATATCCGAATAAACAAATCAGGGAGTGCAGGAAAGAGCAATTTTTGGGCCGTCAGCGATATAAGGACCTGTGAAACAAATGGTAAGCTATTTGATTAATTTATGCCCTCAAACATCCACAGACATAACACTATCCATTAAGTTGTTCCATTCCAGTAGTACCACTCTGTCTCTACGTCAAATGTTGCGGTCGGAGGTTCAAACTCTAGCTCACTATAAGTTTCAGAAACATTCTTAATATGAAAAAGTTCCCCTGTATCTGTAAGTTTGGGAGGGTGGTATACCACAGCACTTGGGCCAGAGTTGGCCCATTGTGCGCCTCCAAAACAGGAGAGGTCATCCTTAGCTCGTCATCCAGTCTAGCAATTCAACGTTGGCGATGACGTCACCAAGAGCGGTGCCTCTGATCTCTTCCAGGGATGGGTACGATTGGCTTACTCTGGATCTGCGTATTGGCGAAAGAGTAATGTAGTCACAAAGAATGTCCTCCCTCCATCGTCTCGTCTTCTTGAAGGAGGCGGAGCCTTTTTCTGATCAACGACAGTTTCTGGCTCGCTGCAACTTTATCTGGATAGCTTGGCAGTTCCTTGGATAAGTTGCAGCCAATCGCATCGTGCCAGCATTTTTTGAAGAGGGTGTGGGAGCGTTCTAAGATCATATCATGGTCAACCCCATGAAGGGCTCCAGAAGGCTGTAGCCTGGCGGCTCTCCTAGCCAGAGCATCGGCAGCCCGATTGCATTTGCTGTGATCATGTCCTTTGTTCCAGCTAACTACCGCCGTGTTTTTTCATCGACGCCTCGGTACGGTGGCAATGTTGTACAAGTCCTGACGTGAGTCGTGGTTTAGATAGAGCTAGTACTGCTTGTCTGCTGTCTGTATGCATGTGCAGAATCTTGTCAGTGATATTGTTGCTGACTGTTCTGCAGCGATGGTTATGCCAGTAATTTTTGTTTGGGGACATTTGGCATGGAGCCGAGGGCTTTAGTTAGATTCAGTTTAAGGACTTTGGAGTATACGCCGCATCCCGAGCTAGTTTCAGTTTTGGATCCGTCAGTATGGATGTTACTACCCCTGCCACTGTATTGTTACCAATGCCTTTCGTGTTGATTGTGTACTGCTGTTTGAAGACGAAATATGGCGTCGCAGAGTCCACTCTAGCTTCCCAACAGTGGAAGTGAGCTCGTTGCCTCGTGCCATATGCGGGCTCTCTGCGAACCGACTTCATACGCGACCTCTGTGGCATAGAGTACTTGAGCCGGCAAAGCCGCCCGAGATTCGGGATAGCAGCCCTCGGTGCAGGGCTCGGCAGTTGATATCAGGTAAGCGTATCACAGGCTGCTACATGGTGACAGCGGTTATTTTTTTCGTGACTCGGACGAAAGGTACCGGCATAAATAGTACATTTCGCATTCGTTTAGTGACCTATCGACTCTAGCCGCTTTAGTGAAGTGCTGCCACTGGGTATAGTGCGGATTTTTAGTGTGAAAACGGTGAAGACCTTGGCGGCCTGCAAAACGCAGAATTCAGCCAGGGGTTTGTGTTTCGGGTAAATGTGACGGGACAGTAGCTTCGAGGTTGCCAGATCTACTAAAACATCGGTAGATATGTAGAAGATATTTTTTTCTTTTAAAGAAAGTAGATTTTTTGAATTGTTTTGTTGATTTTGTCTTCTCTTCACATTTTTCAATCATGGCTAGTGAACAGGAAAATGCAGCAGCAGCAATTACTAAATGCAGGAAACGCAGCTTCGGCACCGGTGATTATGCATCAGGCCACAATTTCCCCTCCATCTCACTTTTATTTTTAGGCTGAGGATTGGGAAGACTGGAAAAATTCATTTAATAGATGTAGAAGACCAGTCCTTAGTAATCATTCATCAGAACAGCGAGTTGACTATCTAATCAGTTTGTTAGGCACAAAAGCTGAGAAAATCTTAAAATAATTTCATTTAACACAAACACAACAAGCAGATTTCCAACACTGTAATATCAAAATTTGACAGTTATTTTATCCAAAAGAAAAATCTTGCATACGAGAGGGTGAAATTTTTGCAAAGGTCACAGAACCCAGACGAGCCTTGTGACTCTTTTATTACAGATCTCACCTCTATGGCCCAAAATGTGAATGGGACAATTTAGGGAAAGAAATGATTAAATTAAGAATAATAGCAGGGTTAGCGGATGATAAATTATCAGTACAGCTACAAGCACGCCCAGATGACACATTGGAAGATGTGGTAAGGCGTGCCAGATTGGCCGTAACATTGCACAAGCAACAGTGAGGGCTAATCTCTCTACTTCCGATCCAATTGTGGAAGAAAATCTGGAAGAAGGCTACGTTCAGAGGGGGGCGCGCCCAAAATCTTTCAGTAAGGGCAACTCAAATTATGAAAAAAACCCAAAATCAAACACAGATACAAAAGATTGCCGAAAATGTGGAAGAACTCCAAGGCACACATTCGTGGATTGTCCTGCAAGAAAGAATGAATGCAACAGGTGCAGAGAAATAGGACACTGGGCGGTAAAGTGTAGTAGTTCAAGAAATGAAAGAGCCTTCAGACGCAATTAGGACCGGCGAAGAATAAATGATGTAATTGCTCAGGACTCTGCTCCTTCTCCCCCGCTGAGCGATGACGAAATCGCTTTTCTGGGCTTCGTAAAAGCTGGTAGGAGTGCTGGTCCATCGCATACCGTAATTTCTATGGATGGCATTCCAGTAAAAGTCAAAATTGACACTGGAGCAGATGGGACCGTAATAAAAAGCGACAGTTTGTCAAATTTAAAAAATATCAAACTTGTCGATTGACAGAAAATCCTAATATCTGCCTCTGGATATAAAATCGTGGTTTTAGGTACCTTTTGAACCGTTCATTGCCTGGCAAAATCAATGTTACGTGGGCCGTGTTTATATTGCACATAATTTGCATGGAAATTTACTAAGAAGAGACGCTGTAGAATCACTAAAGATGTTAGCTTGGACAAATGCGATCTCTGACACGAATGCTATCAGTAAGGAGTTTCCAACCCTATTCGAAGTAATCGGAGATGTAGGAGGAACGTATCACATTACTTTGAAAGAAGGAAGGAAGTCGTTTGCAATTTTTACGCCAACGTCCAAATTAAAACTCCACCTATTTAAATCAGAATAATTAAGTATAAATAAAAAATTCTAGGGAGAAGGCAGAGAGAGGCTGTCCGCAAATTGCCTTTAGTGCAGTCTATTATTATTTTTTGCTGAATCTTGAATAATTTTTGCACTTTCAAACAAAGCTATCTTCGCCTCTTCCCTACATTAAAAAAGCAACTTGAAACTTGTTCTCTTGTTGCACCTCAGCCTATTTATTTGGAAAATATTAAATTGTTTATCTATATTTAGACTGCTTTACCCACTATGCACTACATTTGCTACTTAGACATGCAAATAATTTTTTTCCTTTTTTTTTCTCTAACTTTTAAGTACTATTTACCTGTCGTGAAATTAGCCCATGTCAACATTAGATCGTTATCTGCGGGGTTGAATAACTTTAAGAACTTGGTTTTGGAGAAGGATTTTGATATTGTTTTTGTGACAGAAACATGGTTATCTGAAAATATTCATGACAATGCTGTAAACATAGATGGTTAACCGCTCACCAGAAAAGACAGAGACGGCAGGGGTGGTGGTGTCTGCAGTTATATTAAAATATACACAACTTTTCTGTAATAGCCGATTTTTAGATCACCAACACCTTGGAACTTTTGTTTGTAAAAGTTAAACTCCCCTCTAGATCCATGATAACCGAGGCCTTCTATAGACCACCAAAGTCAAACATCAACAGCTTTATTAATGACATTGAAAATATTCTACCATACCTTTCTATGCAGTGTGATATACTCATATGTTTCGGAGACCTAAATGTTGATTTTTTTGATCTAAATAATCCAACTTTATTCTGCTTTGCGTCGTTTGGCTTATCACAGTTACTGAATGAGCCTACTAGGGTAACCGAAAAATGTAGTACCTTAATTGACCCCATTTTTATTAAGGACACATTCCTTGTTGAATCATGTGGTACCATCTCTTGTCACGAAACAACAGACTACCATTTAGTTCATGCAAAACTAAAAATAATTCTCACCAAACCTAAACCAAAAATAATTAAAACAATGTGTTTTCGTGATCTCAATTTTAATGACTTCTACACGGATCTCACTTCTTTAAATTTTAACAAATATTTCATCATCAGAAACATCGATATAAAGCTTGATATATTTAACTCGCTGCTTTTAAGTGTTTTTGACAAGCACGCTCCAATTCGCAAATGCAGAATTACAAAGCCCAAAGCTCCTTGACTAAAGTACGAAATAAAAACTGCGCAAAAGATCAGAAATAAGGCCTTACAAAAATATAATCGCACCAGACTTGCACTAGATTGGACTACATATAAAAACTTGCACAACCAAACTCTTCAACTTATCAGGACTGCAACAAAAAAACTATCTAAAAAATATCTCTACTGAGAACGACCCGAAAAAGATCTGGAAAACTCTGGAACATCTACACATAAAATTAAAAAAAAAAAAAAAAACAGCTCTTTGATTTTACCAAAATGTTTCTCTGCAGAAGAAATCAATAAATATTTCTCTCCATTTTTCAAAAAGTTTCTGCATAATGCAATAATCAGATCAAATTTTATAACCACCATCTGTTCAATCAAAATCATACGTTTTCGTTTTCAATTGCTTCAATAGAAGATATCCATAAAATTCTAAATAATATTAAAACCAATGCCTATGGCTGTGACAACGTATCAGCTAAAATGTTAAAAATATGCAGTCCATATATTGACGTGTATATCTTGAACATAATTAATTGCTGTATCGAGCAGAACTACTACTACTTTCCTAAGATCTGGAAAACATCAATTGGTACGCTACTGGCTAAAAACACAAATTCTCAGAGTCTTGCCGATGTTAGAAAAATCGGTTTGTTGCCAGCTATGTCCAAAATATTAGAACGTGTCCTATAATATAATCAGATCTTCAAGTATATAATTGAAAACAAGATTCTTCTCGACACTCAGTGCGGCTTCAGAAAAAATT